GGCTTTATAATTATTTAGGGGCCTTTTATGGAATTTATAATAACTGTGGACAGAATTTGTATCCTTCCATGCACAAGCGCCCTCCTACTTACAAGCAACCTCAAATGCATTAAATGCCTTTTCCTGCTTCCCTTTATCATTTCTCCTTACCTACTGCTGTTTATATTTGGATCTTTATTTCCCTTATTTATTCAGCCTGTATTCTCCTGAGTACAAGCCACCCTGTCCTTTTCAGTACTAAGTTAAAAATAAAGAACAAAAGCAAACAAAACAACATATTACTACTATTTTTTAAAATAATAACAATTATAGATTTTAAAATTATTGTACTTGTGTCAGAGAAAACAAAGCTAGACTAAATAGGAATTGTATTCTTTTTTCCCCCAAGTCATAATTAATCCATGTAAAAAAATCACCCAATTATAGGATCTAGCTCTAAGAATTCTGGAGTATTCAGCTCTAAACTCTTTCAATATTTTTATTAACAGCTTATATGATGTTCAGAAAAACTGTTTTTGTAAAATAATCATTTATAGGTTTAACTTTTTTAAAAAGAAGTTAAAAACTAAAGTGCAAACTGGCCTGGCTCAATCAGTGAAAGAGTCCAACAATTTTGTTTTTATTGCATTTTAACTTGTTCACACGTATATGAGTAAGCCAGATAACACCCAATTTTGAGTATCCATATAAATAAAGAATTTAAAAGTGATACAAAAATAATGTATGTGATACACTAGAAGAAGATTGTACACCATTACTTTTTCAACAAGTGAAAATTAAGGGTTGCACAGCTGACCTCCCAGGAAAGAAAGAAAACGACTACCTGCAACGAATAAAAATATAAAGAAATATACTTTCATAAGAAAATTTTTTCCTTATCTCTTTATTTCAAAATATGGATCCAATAATAGTTGATTTTAGGTTTACTTTATGTGAATAAGGATTAACTGAGTGCCTATATGTCATATATACATATGACAGCTTCTGAATAAGTTTGTAAATTCCTGAATAATATATCAAAAAAGACAATTAAAACCTTCCCCTAATAAGATGTAAATCTAGGGCAGTCAACCTCTAGTATTAAATTTGTAGAAAGAAGTATGTGAAATGTCCAAATCCTTTATACCCATCAGTAAATTACAGGGTCCAACATTCCAGCCATCAATCTCAACTCCCTAATCCAGACATTTTTATTAAAACTTTCAACTAGATGATGTATTAACATGACATTGCTATTCATTAGTCACTATATTTTAGGTCAAAAGAAAAAGAAAACTAGAATAAATATAAAAATCTAATAAAAATCAGCATGAAGACAAAAATAAGAGAATAGTCATCTTAAAAGAGTTGATAAACTTATAAATATTAATGTAAAAATAACTTCATAGTATATTAATGTTTTAAATTTAATCTGCTTCCTTTTTTGTTTTCTGAGTAGAAAAAGGACCAACTGCTCCAGGCATAAAATTGGAAAATCTATATTTAAATAAATAAATTTCAGTATTCACAAGCTTGGAAGACAGAAATAGTGTTGAAGTAAAATTTGCTTTCATATAAGTGAATAACAATTAAAAACAGGGCAGAGAAGTTATAAAAAAACTTCCATCAAAACGTAGAGAATTCAACAGAAATATGCATGAAAACTTTCATACTAGCAAGGATTAAAAAGTCATATCCTTATTCTTACAATCTTCCAACGAATAGAAAGTGCCTTATAGTTATTAAAAAGAAAGTTTTTATTAATACTAAAAAATCCGATTTTATTCAGCAAAAAAAGAAAAACTTCAATAGAAAAATACAGGATGGACAAAAGTAAGTTTACAGTGATTTCTATGGAAAATAATACAATAATTAATTAATAATGCAAGAATAAACTGGTTTGCATACTCACAATTGTAAACCTACATTTTTTTATTACAAAGAGGACGGGAGAGGGAGAGAGAGATAGAAACATCAATGATGAGAGAGAATCACTGATAGGCTGCCTACTGCATGCCCCGCATTGGGGACTGAGCCTGAAACCAGGGCAGATGCCCTGACCTGGAATCGAACCCTAACCCCCAGGTTCATAGGTTGAGGCTCAACCACTTAGCCATGCCAGCCAGGCTGTAAACCTATTTTTGCCCAACTCTGTACTAGTATAAGTGAAATTAAATTAGGTAATAGGAATAACATACATAGACTATAATTACTACCATTAAATATAATGGGTGTTGGTTCCTTAAAATTCTGTATATTTCTCTGTATTAAATATACATAAATCTTATATTTAAAATGTCAAACGGGGGTTAAAGGAGGAAACTGAATATGTGTAGTGATTTTTATAAGAAGCTGTATAAGACTAAGATCAAAATAGTATAGTATATGATTTGGTGTAGGTTCTCTTTTAAAATATAGTTGGCTGTTTTAGGTCAATTCATATCAGGCCCTTAAAAAAATAAGGGAAACATATTAAAAGCAAATCTCCCACCTAATTTTGCTGAATGTTATCAGTTCCCTAATAAAACATGACTCCTTTTAGTGAAGTCTAAGGAAATAATGTGAACTATGAGAATTCATTTTAATTACCATGGTTACAAGAAAAATCAACTTCAAACTACAACTGGCTGGATGATGAGCTGCCACCAATCAACTTTCTTGCTTCACAAAAAAGCAAGAGAAAATCTCCCCATATTTTGTTTAAATACAAATTTATGCCACATGCCAATCATTATAACTTCTAGCAATGATATCTTCCTAACAAATCAAGAGCAAAATATTTTATAGGAATATCATACATATTGTTTTAATTAGATGTTTTTATCACCTTGTGTTGATATAGCACCTTGGTTTAAATTTGCCAACACTATCAACCTTTCATTATTTTTTTTTTAATCAGGACATTCCTTAAGGTACATATGGCACATGGTCTTATGCACAGAAATCATTATTAATGTTCTGAACCACTGTAGCAACTGAATAATTCAGGTTCATTGTACCTTTGTAAAAAACAAACAAACAAACAAAAAAATGATATGTAAATTAATTCTAATTATTTCTGGCTTTTTAAAAATAAAACTTGATTAAGTCTAAAAGCACCTAAAAATATGTTGCCTTAAAAGGATATTTGCTTTAATAAATGGCTTTACATATTTGGAAAACTAGAGAACAGCACGTAAAATTACCTTTAAAGTCTAATTTTAAATTTCCAATAGAGCAATCAATATGGTAATCTACTCTTCAATAAGAATCTCAAAGCAACACATAACATGGGTTCCTTGAGAGACTGCACTGTATTAACAAAGTAGGTCTAACACAGAGAGATTATGCATCTTGTTCTATTAACAGAACAGGCACATATTACAAATATCAATGCAATAAACATATCTACAACACAACTGCTTAGCTTAACCCAAACTACTCACTTAGTTCAAACAGTGGTCAGTAACACAATATGCTAAGTTAAATAAAAAAGCTGTATGTAGCTCATTGAAGTTAATTATACAGCATATGATCTATTCAAATTATTTATTGCAGTTATCTTAATGAACATGTACATCAGAAACAGGTTGAAAATTTTCCACCGTGCCCTACAAACTTTAATTTCTACACTGTCTGTAAGCGTAGTAAATACGTGTCTGATGTGGAATGACAGAACAACTGAACTGCTTTAATCTAACAATTTGCTGAGCACAATGGTCAAGTCATAGGGTAAAATCTCATACGTGAATCATGAAAATGACATGAGGTCCAAACTTTTCAAAGCAGATTGGATCACCTTTAACTGCAACCTAAGTTGAGACTATGTAAAACAATATGTAATTGTAGAGTGCAAATTGAATTTTAAAGCCAAATCTCAACTTGTAAATGTAATCGATTTTCATTTTATCAATGCTAAATTTGGAAACTGGCTACGGTTCTGTATGCAAGCTCAGATAAATTTTCATGATTTCATTTAAGGGCACGCTTTTAAAGTTGTGAATACTTGGAAACTACCCAAATCCATCCAAAAGATGAATTGTAAATAACACTCAGAGAACTGGGCTTATATCCTGGTTCCCAGACTCTAACTGGCCGAGTGATGAGGGTGGGCCTCTCTTCTCGTTTGTAGTGGTGCCCTCTAACGACTAGATGAACTTTGCTTAGGCAACCACTCTTCGGTGCAATTTGTTTTAGCATTTACACTGCTGATGGTAGGAGGCAATCTTCTTTAATGGATGCTGAAAAGCTTTAAGTGAAATCGGTAATTGACAAAGGCTTCATAGAACTAGGCAATTGAGAACAAAATTAACAAGAGGCTCTACAGGAAAAGCACTCAAGCTTTCACAGAATACTTCTCTAGGAAAATATCTAGTAAAAGTAAAATGTTAAAGAACCAGGTGTTGTTTCTTCCACTTTATTAACTGGTTTTTTTTGTTTTGTTTTGTTTTTGTTGTGTGTTGTTTTTTTTTTTTTGGGGGGGGGGGGGGACTCTGTGTTCATTCAAAAGATGGCCCTAGACAGAGTTACTGTTACTGGCTCTAGAGGAATAATCCACCTGCTGATATTATTAGGGAGGGGGGAAAAAAGAAATAATGAAAGGAAGAAGAGCTCTAAGTAAAAGTTGGGGTAAGTTCAGCACCTATTTCTTCCAAATAAAAGCTGCCCAGTTCTAGTACCCGAAATTTAACGAAGCAAAGTATTGACAACAAATCAAAAGAGCTCTAAAGAGCAAAGCAGCAAGGGTAAGGCAGAAAACAGGGCACACTCATTCACCTCTGGGCTCCAGGAAACCAGCGCACTCCTTAAGTGTCACTAGTCCAGAAAGTGATACAAGCACAACCAAACGATGCATAGGAAGAGCAGGCGAGGGAGCGGAGCCAGGGCAGTACTGCCCACTGTGCTTTCTGGGCCCAAACCCCCACCCCTCCCTCCCCCACGGAAGTTTACCTGTGGCGGAAGGTGAGACTGAGGGGGTGGGGTGGGTCTCAGGCTGGAGGGGGCGCGGTGGCCGGGTGGGGAAGGGGGCGGGTCGCACTTACTTTGAGCAGCTTGCAGCGGATCTGCGCGGAGACCATGTGGCTGTTGCGCAGGTTGCCCACCCGGAACATGAGCGTGAGTTTGCCGTCCCGCATGGAAATCACCGCGTGCTCGCTGAACATCAGGGTCTCCGCGCGCTTCTTGGGCTGGGACATCTTGATGAACATGCAGCCGATGAGGAAAGCGTCCACGATGGAGCCGAGGATGGACTGGAAGAGGAAGAGGATGATGCCCTCGGGGCACTTGTCGGTGATGTAGCGGTAGCCATAGCCGATGGTGGCCTCGGTCTCGATGAAGAAGAGGAAGGCGGAGGGGAAGTTATAGACATTGGCCACGCAGGGCGTGTAGTTGCCGACGTGAGCTTTGTTGAGGTCGCCCCGAGTGTAGGCGATCACCCACCACATGGACGCCATGAAGAGCCAGGCCACGGTGTAGGTGAGGATGAAGATGAAGAGGTTCCAGCGCCACTTGAGGTCCACCAGGGTGGTGAAGAGGTCCGAGAGGTAGCGGCTCGTCTCGCTGCCCAGGTTGCCGTGCTGCACATTGCACCGGCCGTTCTTGTCCACGAACCGCTGCCGCTTCTTCTTGGGCACGAGCTGCTGCTGCGGGCCCTGGCCCGGCCCCTGGGGCTGCAAGCCCGAACCGCTGGACGAGGTGGTCACTACCTGGTAATCGTCCCCAAATTTCCTTCGGAGTGCAGACATAATACGGAGGGGCGAGCCAGATTCACACGCGAAAGTGAAGGCGCAGGAGCCGAGCGCTGCAAACCAGCACCAATAAGGAGGTGGGGGCGGGGGAGAGAGTGGGGAGCCGAGGGGGGTGGACAAAAGAGAGCGCACCTGGCTTGGGGGGCGCAGCGGCCGGGAGCGGCGGGCTCTGCAGCCGCCGCTCCTCCCCTGGGACGGAGGCTTGCCTCCCCAGCCGAGTCTCTAAAAAGTGTCCTCCCGCCCTCAAGGCAGGAGGGCGGCCAGGACCGCAAGCGCAATTTCGCCTCCAAGCTTCCCGGGGCGTCTCTTTTCTTCCCCCACCACCGGCATCCCGGCCACCCCTTCTCGCCTGGCCCAGCCCTCCTGACCGTCCTCCCCAGCTGACTCTTTAAATGAATAGTTGGCAAGCGAGTTCCACTCCACCTGCCAACTCGCCAGGCTGCCCAGGCTGCGTTACCTGCTGGGACCAGACCCTCCCCCTCCCCCGCCGCTCCCGGACCGCCCGCCCCTCCCCGGGACGGCTCCCGCCTGCCCCCGGCGCTCCCCCTCCTATCTTTTGGCCCAAATCCCGCCCCAAGGCATGTCTGCCAAGTAGTGTTGCAACACCCCTTACCCACGCCTCCAGGCTCAGAGTCCCCCGCTCCGCACTCCGGAGAGGTGTCTGCTGGCCGCCGAGTTTCCGTGGGCGCCCCCAGGCCCTCGGGCGGACCCCGAAGGTCCCCAGCCGCCCCCGCGCGCACTCACCCCGCGGAGACGGCGCCCCGGCCGCGGGAGCCCGGCCTCGCACTGCGCTCAGGGCTGCTTCCCTCGCCCCCACTTTTCCTGCTGTACCTCGATGGGCGCCGGCTCAGTCCCCCAGAGCCCCGGAACTTCCAGAGGGCAGCACGCTGCCCCCACCAGAAGGATCCTGGCTCCGCGGGCACAGACTGATGGGGGCGCGGGACTTAGGGGTTCCTGGACGCCGCGTTTTCCCAGCAGGCGGCGGCGGCACCGTGGTGAGGGTTCGAGCCTCGGGCTGCCGGTCACTTTGAGGTTAGAGGCGAGCGGCACTCCAGCTTTTCCTCCGCTGCACGGTGCTTTCCTTCACCCCTGTCTTCCTAGGACCCAGGTCTTCCTACTCCCGGCCCGCGCCTCGGGGGCCCGGGGAGAAGACGCCAGGCGCCTGCGGGAGCGGCGGGAGAGCGGGGCTGTGCGCTGCGTGTGATCAGCTGCAGAGCCGCGCTGGCCCCGCCTGTCCCCGCTTCCCCCGCGGCTCCACCAGCCCGAATTGCACCTCCGCGCCTCAGTTGAGCCTGCAGTGTCTGGCAGCTCAGGAAAATCGAGCCTCTCCAATGAGAAGCGATTCTCCATTGGCTCCCAACCGCCAGGCAACACTCCTTCGCCGCTCGGCATCAGGCAGCAAGCCCCCAGCAAGCAGCAGATGCTGGTCTCTGAAAGCAAAGGAGTACAATCTGTCTCTATAACTAGGGCTCTCATTGAAACGGATGCCTGGATCGGGACTACATCACAGAGATCCCAACTGGCTCCGAGATAAGCATGTCTAGAACTCAAAGTTGCAAGTAGCCAAGGGGGCCTTGGGATGGGAACAGAAAGGAGAAGAAACACTTATAGGAAAGCTCATAATCTCTCCTGAAAATGGCTCCATTAAAAAGGTTCAGGATGTCCAGAGTTAACGCGTGGCTGTAATTGAGGGAAGAAGGCTGGATTGTAATGGCCCAGGCTTGGTAGTTAACTTAATGGAGGGTCAAAGTGCAGAAATAGCTCATATAGTGCCCATGTGTAAATACCAGCTTATTTACCACCTTTCATGTTTGTTTTAAAAATGCCATGGTATCTTGTGGCACAGTCATTACATTCAGGCCTTTCAGTACAGATGTATAAAATTGATTTTGTTAGAAAAAATATCATCAAATCCTGAGATTAGTAAAGCAAAAGGCTGCTATAAGACTCTCAAGCAAAGGAAAATAGGTACATAATCACTCGACCAATTCTCTGCCTATAAGCACTCCTCCCTACATCTCCACCCTTAAACCTTAGTGCAGGCAAGCATGTGTGGCCTTCTCAGACACAAACCAAGGGCTTTTCACTGTCATTTAGTTAAAACAGCTACCCGGAGTTACAGGCGCTTCTCCTGCAGGCCCTCTGATAAGAAGCCAGTCATCCTCTTATTCTTTAGGATTACATAAGAAGGGAAAGTGACACTGCGGGAAGTGGGAACTGCTCTGGACCTGGAATCCTAAAACCTGATGCGGGTCCTGGCCCTGCCATTCACAAACTGTGTGACCTTGAACAAGTAGCTAAGTATATTTGGGCCCCAGTTTTCTTCTCTGAAAAATTGGGAGTTTCAACATATTTCCAAAATTTGCATGGAAAAAGAGAATGAATGTGGTTCTATTAACTACTTTTGCTGCCAGGGATGCTATCTCCTGGGCTATAAAAATGTAACAAGGCCAAGGGGAGATTAGAAATGAGTTTTTGGAGTTGATTCCATCCAGTGAACTAACATGTGCATTGTCTTCTTATTTCTGACTGCTCTCCCTCTAACTCAGCGGTTCTCATCCTGTGGGTCGCGACCCCTTTGGCGGTGGAACAACCCTTTCACTGGGATTGCCTAAGACCATCCTGCATATCAGATATTTACATTACGATTCATAACAGTAGCAACACTACAGTTATGAAGTAGCAACGAAAATAATTTTATGGTTGGGTCACAACATGAGGAACTGTATTTAAAGGGCCAGGAGGTTGAGAACCACTGCTAACTCATTATGCCCTTAACAGACTGGCTTCTTTCAATTCCTAAAACCCACCAAAGCATTATCCCCATCCTTGTACCTTTGTGCTACCTGTTCCCTCTTTCTGGAATGTTCTTGCCCTACTCTTCCATGTCAGTGGCTCCTTCTTTCATTCAGCCTGAATGCTTCTTCCTAGGGAGAACTTCACTAGCCCTGTACTCTCTATCACATCAGTTTGGCTCATGTTCTTCACAACACTTTTTTCTAAAGGGTATTATCTTCATTTGTTTGTTGTCTCTCTCTCATTACATCACAGTCTTGCAATGCAAGCTCTACAAGAACCAGAACTTTGCCTCTCTCATTTACTATGTCCCTAACACCTGTCATATACCAGGTCCACAATTAATATCTGTTGGATCAAAAATATGTACCAATCCATATCACTAGGAACTCCACATACTTTGAAACTCTCTCTGAGTAATACAAAATTAAAAGTCATCACTAAGTCAGGTCACTTATATGATTTAATATAAAAGAACATGAAATAAAAAAGGAATACTTCCTGTGCTTCTTAGGTATAGAATGGATACTCAATCAGATGCCAAATTCTTTTGATTGTGCCACTGCTGTATCTCTCATATGATTTCCCCTCTCCCTTTAAAAATGCTACTGTCTTTCTTTAAATCCCAATTTCAGTTTAGGCCCAATGTGAAATGATTTTCTTGCCTTCAGTCTTTTACGCCTTCAAACTGTCCTACATAGTATTACTAGATCTATTTTCTTAGAATCATAAAAAGTTTAGTAAGGAAATGAAAATGAAAGAATTCTCTGATTATTTCATTCGATTATTTTATCCCCAAGCTTTTAAACATTCTCACTTTTAAAAAAAACACTTTCTTATGGGAAACCTTTGCCATTTTTCAGCAACCAAATTTACAAACAAATAATTTGATACCTCAAGAGACATAATTTAATCTAATTCTCTCCTTTAACAAATAAGCACATTGAGGCTAGAAAGAGAAAATAATTTGTTCAGTATTAGAATTGACAAGTGAAAACGCTGAGATTTGAACCCAGAACATTGTACCTCCAGAACCAGAATGCTCTGCCATCCCTTACAAGGTGCCTGGAAGACAGACTAGGATTTCTGATTCATATCCAGGGCCACTCTCCACTACATCATGCTTCTCAGAAGCTTGAGATCTCAGGTCCTTACAATATGCCTAACCTCTAGTTCCAAAATTATCTCCTACCCTGCCTTTAATGGGGGCAATACTCCAACCAACTTTGACTGTTCTCAATTCCCCAAAAATGCCCTATATGAATTTCATTTGCTCAATTTCTTCCCTGTCACTTAAGTACCCTTTTTCTATCCCTGCAAAATGCAAATCACTGTCCCTAGAGAAGGAAATAATTTATTTGGCTTTTATTGCCACCTCCCCCATGAAGCTTTACATTATCTTTCCACTAACAAAAATCTCTCCCTTTTTGAATTCTTACTTCTCTAGGTTTGTAATGTGGCTTTTTTTTCTTTCTTTCTTTCAAGCCTATATTTGAGCTCAGCATTTACCAAGATTTCCCTCCAGAGCACCTCGAGCATCTACCTCTTAATATTTTTATACCATTCAGTACTCCAGTTATCTGACCTTGCCTTGCACGTGGTAAATATTTATAAATATTTAAACAGGACTAAAATTTATTGAGCTTACTTTAATGTGCCAGGCAATATTGTTGGTGCTTGGAACTTTACAATTCGTATTCCCATTGTATAGCTAGGAAGATGGTAGAGCATGTATTCCAAAACATATCTGCCCATTTTCAAGGTCTTCATTTTAAAGAAACAGTACTTCTTGAAACATTAAATATTTGTTCAGGATGCCATAATGTCACACGGTAAAGGTGGCTGAGCCTTGACCTCTCTGTGACATTAAGTCCAACTCCTTGAAAACATGTAAAGATGAACCAAACTCTTCTTCTGTCAGCACAGCTGCTTCCACGATGAGGTTCTGGAGGCCGGCCAGCCCCGTGGTGCCAAAGCCAGGCGGGATGTGTGGGGAATGGATGACAGAAGGCCGCCTAATCAGGTGCTGTCTGATGAACTGAAGTGAAATACTGCAAAGAGAACGGGTCAAAGGAAGGAGACGCACACGATTTCAGCCAAAGCCACAAAGCCAGAAAAACCTGGAAAATATCACCACAGAATGTACAAGCATTTGGAGTCTAACATATAAAGACAGGGTGGTTATAAACAAACTACCATACAGATCTTGAGAGTAAGGCGGGGAGGGGTTAAAGCTATATTTACCAACAAACTCAATTAAGAACAAGCTACATATTTATTCTGTGTTTACAATGACTAATATCATGAAAAAGTGTAACTTTGAAAACAAGGCATACGATTCTGTGTTTTAATACTGAAAAGGCATGACTTTGCACCTGCACTCACCCTATTATGTAACTGAACAGTGTGAGGAAAAGAGTACATTGACTGTAAAAGAAGAAAAACCTCTGCTCTTGAGAAGTCCAAATTCTAAAAATGACTTAATCGGCCAACTGCGGAAAAAGCCAGGCTTTGAACACCTCAGTACAGCTGGAGCGCGCCTTCTCGTCATTCACTTATTGTCACTGTGTCCTGCTATGTGATGGTCTGTGCGACCGGAAATATTAATTACTCTCAGGTGAAAATGGTATTATATTTAATACTCCTTTACTCTTAACCCTACCATCCTCTGAACTACAATGAAGAGATGGGCAGGCCTGGGGATCTGAAGCTGTGTGCTTCAAACAGTAACACATTCCCATTGTCACCATAAGTTCTGCTATATCTGGGAAGAGGTCACTCTTTGAAATTCTATATGCAATTTTAGGCAGTGGAATTGTGTTTCTTTTTTTTTTTAACCCTCCTAAAATAAGAATACTGAATTTATTTTCTCTCTTGCCAAAAAAAAAAAAAAAGAATAAGAAAAATGAAAAGGAGAAATCAGCTTGAGATTTCACTGCACAGATTTGAGAACAGAGCCATTGCCATCCCCTGGCGGTGACTCATCCAGCCCTTAATGTTGGCTCCAAATCCCGGCCTCTGCTTGAGGATTCAGAGAAAAGCTAAATGCCATCGTCACTTGGAGGCCATTTATCTAGCAACGTTTTCCTGACTTAAACCCTCGCTTTACTCCAGCACTGTGCCTGGGAGTACTCTGGTTTGTGAAAGAATAGAGTCTTTAAAAACTTTTCCAGAACTCGACATCTGTTAACAAAGAAATGATGGTTTTTAGCAGACCCAAGGGCTTATTGGCAAAGCATCGAGGAAAAACAACAATGTCCTATCATTTTCCATGTCAGTGGAAGTTATACTTCTCAGGATTTCTCCCCTGAGCACACCAATGAAATACTAGATGTCAAAATATGGACAAGAGTGTTGCTTAGTTCAATACAACAGACACCTAATGTGCACCAACCATGTGCCAAGCATTAGATCAGGTTTGTGCAGGTTGGAAATAATGACGACAAAATCTATTAACAACAACAACAACAACAATAATTAATACAATGTAATAAACACCTAAAGGAAACGATTGCTTTATTTACATTTAGAAGAACAAGTCTTGTTAGGAAATACTCCTCTAGCTAATGTAACCTATCAA